TTTATTTCGACGTTTCGGCCTAGAGTGTGGCCTTCATCAGGATTAAAGGTACAGTTTCTTGGTGCTCAGCTTTATACAATCTCAAATCAGAGGGCAAGGAAAGAGGAAAAAAGACAGAAAAGAAAAAAAGTAAAAAAGAAAAAGAAAAGAAAAAGAAGAAAAAAAGAGAAGAAGAAGAGAAAAATATTATACGGTGGACTCCCCTCGGGTGCCCCCCTTCCACTCTTCCTTCCACTTCCATTTCATCTCTCTCCCCCTTCACCTTTCTGATGTCAGCGGTCTGGGTATGCTTCCTTTCAATAACGCATTCCTCCCGACCAGACGGCGCTTCCTGGCACTGGCGGTTCGGTGTGGGGCGAAAAAGAGCTTTTTTAGGAAGTTCTAAGCCTTTAACTACTCGGAGTCTCGTAAACATTTCGTCGTAGAAGGAGGGGTGCCGCGTATTGTGGCAGAGGCTGGTAAGCGGGCATTTTAGGAAGTTCTAAGTCTTTAACTACTTGGAGCCCCGTCAACATTTCGTCGTAAAAAGAGGGGTGCCCCGTATTGTGGTAGAGGCTGGTAAGCGGGCGCAATGCGAATTCCTTGCCCGCTTCTAGATTACCCGTGCAGTGGGGGCCTCCCGGCTGTGCACAGGGTTGCTGTTGGGCATGTCATGCATGGCATAATTGATTGGGTAGTAAAATAAAACAGAAAACAGACGACAGCTGTACTTAGAAAGAGTAGTTACACTTGGAATTGTTTTGAGTTGTCCAGTGCCCTTCGCAGCTGCAGCGCCGTGAACTCAGTTACTATTTTCATTATTGCCGTTATTGTTTTCTAATGCTTTAATTGCTGCAAGTGTTCCAAAATTCTCATTTATTCCTCTATCGAGGGTGTTGAATCGGTGGATAAGGTATGACTCGTTGTTCACGTTCTCGATTTGATTTAAATACCGTCTCTAAGAGCGTTACTGATAGTTTGTCGAATGCATGGTCGCGAAGATTGAGATGTTTTGATAGAGGTAGACTTGGGGCTGATTTCGCATGGGCTCTGTGATTATTAAAGCGAATCCTAAATGGTGTTTCTATTTGTCCGATGTACTGCATACCACACACGTTGCATTCGAGCAGGTATACCACATTAGAGGAATCGCATGTTAGGTTTCCTCCTATGTTAATCGAAAACTTGGATTGTGTGCTGGTTGCTTTGTGTGTTTCTCGCATCACCTTACGTACAAGACCTCGTGGCTTTAAACCAGGTCGGCATAAATTATTGGGGGGTGATGTGTTAATTTGAGAGTGGACAAGTGTGTCTTTGAGGTGACGTGGTCGTCGGTAAACGACGCCTGGAAGGGATGGAAATGCGCGTTTCAGACGTTCACTTTGTTCCAGAATATTGTAACGTCGTTGAAAGATTTTGTTTACATTGGGGATGTTTGTGCTGTAAGTCAAGCAGAGGTTCGTTCGTTGTGGGTCTTCTTGCAGTGGTCGCTTCATAAGTAGGTCTTCACGCTTCAGTTTTCTCGCTTTCTGAACTGCGTCATTAATTACATGTGGGGGGTATTTTTGTTTCTTGAGCATAAGTTTTAGCCTCTGTGAGCTCTTTAAGCTGAATTACACTTGCTCCAAGACCTCGACAACTTCGCTTGAAGCTTTCGGTTTCGCGAATATTTCTTGGACAGGCCTTCTAACCACAAAACAATTCACCATCGTAAATCAACTGATTGGGCACCGAACAGTAATCGAGACAAGTGCTTGGACCTTTATATCACCGCAGTACAGAAAGATATAGTATACGAATACCACAGACAGAAAGGAAACCGGGAAAACTTAACAAAATCTGAAAAAAATAAGTATGAGAAATTTGGCATCTAGGACAGACATAACAATAAAACCCGCTGACAAAGGAGGAACAATTGTAGTTCTTAATACAACCAACTACTTACAAGAAGCATACCGCCATCTAGACGACTCAAGATTTGACGAACGCCCCCCAGGTGATCCGACAGACGAATACAAACATATCGTATCAACAGAACTAAAGAAACTGTTGGTTGCAGAAAAGATAACCAACGCTGACCACAAACTGATGCAAGCAGCATACCCTCGTCTAGGTCGCTTCTACATCCTCCCAAAAATTTATAAACCCGGTAACCCAGGTCGACCAATCATATCAGGCATCGGTACAATAACTGAACTCATATCAGGGTACGTGGACAAACTAATAAGCCTTATTTCATGCACCCTCGCGTCGTACATAAATGACACCACACATTTTCTTCGAGACATTGCAGGTCTGTGTGTGCCGAAAAACTCGTACTTGGTTACTCTTGATGTCTCTTCATTGTATACAAATATTCCTCACGATGACGGCATAGCTGCATCACAAAATATGTACGTACACAAACCATAGACAATCTAACACCCAAGATTTCTCTGCCATCGCAACTTTGACGAGGATGGTCCTCGATCTAAATTCATTCGAGTTTAACCAAGAGTATTTTCGACAAATAAGCGGGACCACTATGGGCACCAAAATGGAACCTAGTTATGCCAACATATTTATGGGAAAGCTAGAATCTGAATTTCTTGCACAAAGTTCCTTGAAACCAATGTTATACAGAAGATACATAGAAGGCATCTTTCTTATTTGGACCCACAGCGAGGACAAACTTCTCAGCTTTATCGACACTTACAATGCTGTACATCCGAACATACACTTCACACACACATACTCGCAAGTAACCGTAAATTTTCTTGATGTTACCATAACGATAGAAGAAGAGAAGCTCTCTACAACCCTATATCGCAAACCAACGGATCGACAACAATACCTCCATTACCAAGGCGATCACCCACACCATTGTAAAAACAGTATTCCATACAGCCAGGCTCAACGGTTTAAGCGAATCTGCTCCAGAGACGCTGACTTTGACACGAGCTCACAGAGGCTAAAACTTATGCTCGAGAAACCAAAATACCCCCGGCATGTAATTAATGACGCTGTTCAAAAAGCGGGAAAACTAAAGCGTGAAAACCTACTTATGAAGTGACCACCGCAAGAAAACCCACAACGAAAAAACCTCTGCTTGACTTACAGCACAAACTTCCCCAATGTAAACAAAATCCTTAAACGACATTACAACATTCTGGAAAAAAGTTAACGTCTGAAACGCGCATTTCCATCCGCTCCAGGCGTCGTTTACCGACGACCACGTAATCTCAAAGACACACTTGTGCACTCTCAAATAACACATCACGCCCCAATAATTCATGCCGACCTTGTTTAAAGCCACGATGTCTTGTATGTAAGGTGATGCGAGAAGCACACAAAGCAACCAGCACACAATCCAAGTTTTCGATTAATATACGAGGAAACCTAACATGCGATTCCTCTAATGTGGTATACCTACTCGAATGCAACGTGTGTGGTATGCAGTACATCGGACAAACAGAAACACCATTTAGGATTCGCTTCAATAATCACAGAGCCCATGCGAAATCAGCCCCAAGTCTACCTCTATCAAAACATCTCAATCTTCCCGACCTTGCATTCGACAAACTATCAGGAACGCTCTTAGAGACGGGATTTTTTGAGAAAGCTCTTTTTTTCCCCACACCGAACCGCCAGTGCCAGGAGGCGCCGTCTGGTCGGGAAGAATGCGTTACTGAAAGGAAGCATACACAGACCACTGACATCAGAAAGGTGAAGGGGAGAAAGGGGAGAGAGATGAAGGGGGAAGTGGAAGGAAGAGTGGAAGGGGGGCGCCCGAGGGGAGTCCACCTTATGTTCTTTTTTTTCTTTTTCCTTCTTTTTTTCTTTTCTTTCTTTTTTCTTATTTTTTATGTCTTTTTCTCTTACCTTTTCTTCTAATTTGAGCTTGTATAAAGCTGAGCACCAACAAACTGTACCTTTAATCCTGATGAAGGCCAGACTCTAGGCCAAAACGTCGAAATAAACCACGTTGTGACCACTCACGGAGGATCTACTGGACTATATATATATATATATATATATATATATATATATATATATATATATATATATATATATATATTTATTTATTTATATATATATATATATTTATATATATGTATATATATGTGTGTGTGTGTTCACGCTACTGCCGGTGAGATGGTGTGGTTGATGTGCGCCGCCCTTTTTAAGCTATTGTATGGTACAACCCGTTTCAAACATGAAAGCTTTTACGTTGGGGATCACCAAGTATGTCAGTGACATTGTTGGCAAATTCTTGTTACATTACTCTGACGAAGGCTTGCTGGTCCATTCGATGAAAACTTTAGGACGCTTTCGTGAAAGTTTCGTCGTCCATCCTTGCATGAAATACGTCGGGCCTAACGTGAACGTCGTTCAAAGAAGCTTATATATATATATATATATATATATATATATATATATATATATATATATATATATATATATATATATATATATATATATATATATATATATATATATATATATATAAAGATATATATATATATATTTATATATGTTAAATGATGGACTACTCGAAAGGGTTTATATCATTGTTTCGGCAGGGTCCAACACCATCGTTAGGAATTTATCAATGCACTTCTCATAGACATGGGGACAAGAGGGGTCTTCCAAAGGGTGCGTACTATCGTAAAAGCTTCGACATGTATGATGTGAATAAATGAACACCGGCAATTGTGTCTGACTTGTTGACATGAAAAGTACAGTAATAAAGCAATATAGCAAGTACTGAAAAAGCACAGCTACAATTGCGATTTTGTAAAATGGCAAGGTGCGTCAGAACTTGTCTGAAAAGAGTAAAATATGCAGGTGTAGAGTAACAACACCAAATGAGGAGACGGCAACAGTGGTTGAAATAGGCAGTGAAGGTGAACAACGAATAAAACCAGAATAAGAATCATGGTAATAAGGTGAAACCAAAGAAAAAATATTTAAAGGTGTAAGCATTGAAAATCCACAACAATGAACGTCACACACAACATGAATGTCAATAATAAACTCACGCAGGTATGGTCTTCGTGAGCAGTCCACGGATCCGAGGAAGTCGCATCGTGCGTACAGAGGGTTGCCTTCATGAAAGGCCATGCCATCAGCGCACAGCTTTGGCTTAGCCACTCCCCGGCGGCACTCGTAGTACATGTCACATTGCTCCGGGTCTGGGAAATAGCCGTTGCTGCTCGGGCACTGGAACTGGGCACCAGCTGCATTGTTAGTATCACATGTTGGGGTTTATGTTACTGTTTAACGTTCCAAAACAAGAGATGCTGTAGTGGAGGGCTCTGAAAATTTTGACCATCTGGTGCTCAATAGCGTTGACCTAAATGTATGCACACGTGCTTCAAACATTTACGTTCCCATCCAAATTGTAGACGCTGTAGCTGGGTTTCGATCGCGCAATCTGCGGGTCAGCAATCGAGCAGAATAACCACTGCACAACGGCAGTGGCTTCCGAGTGCATTGCACTGGTCATAAACAGCTTACGTTATGAAGCTTCCTTGGTCAAAATGGAAATACTTTGATGTGTACAGGAGCATGCGGTAAAGAAAATGTTATATGCACAGAAAGGTTGAAATAATAACACAGAAAAAGAACCAGCACTAAAATGGGTGACGGCTGCACTGCGCATCGGTGCCATCGCCCCCCCCCCCTTTTTTTTTTCAGGCCATTTTTGTGGCATATAGGCAAGAGCTGACATTGATTAAAAACAAGGCACACTTTATGCTCTTTCAAAACAAGTGATATGAATGGCAGCATACATTTTACACAACCTTAAGACGCACACATGAAACGAAGACTGAGAAAATATACAGGACCTATCAATAGTTTCTATTCAAGAACTACTTATGAGGTTGAATACAAACAGGCCTAAAAAACAATAGAGCGCACTGGCTACGTCAGTTCTAGCCTTATCTTACAGCAAGGACACTTTTCACGACCTGTTTGCGTCGCCATTGCAATTGAAAATTTGCTGTTTAGAAATTGTGGACAAAGAAGGCAAACACAAGAAAGACAACGAAAGATACAAAGCGTTCCCTACTTAATAGATAAAAACTTGACAGGCTGTTACAAATGACACGTTATGAAATTTCGGCACATTTCGGAATTTACAAAGGTCAATGTGCAGTTCGCTCACCGACAGAGCCGCTTCGAATTGTTAAGTCTCAAATCAACACACCAACCAATATCGTTTACGACTGCCGTATAAAATAGCTTCTTATATAGATGTGAGTGATGCCAAAGGGTACGTTCAGGAGGTAGGTACATTGGACCATGTCTGCTGTGCATGACGTTACAGTAAATACGCCCAAGTGGTGCTAAGCCATAGTTTAGTGCAGGCGACGTGAACACACGGCCCGCGAACAATTTGCTAGTAGTCCGTGGCCTCCCCATAATTATCTTCATACCATATTTCTTTTGTAGTTTCTTAATGATTGCGTTCATGAGCTACGGAGACTTGACCAGTCACAGTTTCGTTTTGTTAGCCTATTCATTGAATTTCCATGCGTTGAAACAACCATGAAAGGAAAACTGAACGTGTCAGAATTGGCATCATTTTGGTTACTCTACAGACCGACATCGAAGTTTCTGATATTCTAGTGAGAAATCCCCCGCATAAGAGAGCGAATATAAGGCACGGGAGAGCCTTTTTTTCAATGGCAACGTTAGCTCCCACATCTCCATCTAGTTCAAGCTCAAGTTCGGTGCCGCGCTTCACACTGCCCCGTTTCTTCAGGAAGGCTCCACGCAGTGTCTACTGTGGCCTGGCTGGCTCTAGGAATAATGGTGATATGTGGTTTTCACTTGTGCAAGAGCCATACTTGGCAAAACAGTGCCAAAAATGTCATTAGAACAGCAATGCTTCGTTGTTTATGGTGGTATGTGCAGATTCTGAACTATGGTGCCGTTGCGTGGCTCTGTAAGGGCCTATATGTTCATGTCCTAAGACGGGAAAATATAGGCTAGCTGAGGTGAGTTTGACACCCCTGGGGCTTGCAAAGACATATTGCCTGATTGCTATGAGTCAAAATTTGGTAGTGAGAAAAAAACAAAAGTAAAAAAAAATTGCCCACATATCTGCATGTTAATCTGCAGATGTCGTCGAAAGACGATTTTCTTGCGTGTGGAGAGAGTAAACAAAACATTTATTTGATGTTCTGCGCAAGAAAATCGATGAATGGTATTCTGGAGGTACTTTGGAGTGCCTCAAGCGTGCAGCGAAGGCGAACGAGCGCATCAAGTCACATCACACGTGAGGCATGAGTGCCATCTGGTGGTTTTCTTGGAAAACGAAGGGCGTGGCTTTGAGACGGATGTGCGCGCCCGTCTCAGAAGTGATAAGGTGTAGAACGCAAGGCGACGGGTAGGTGCCGCCACCGTGTCGTCTTAGGAAGGCGTTGGAAACACTCGCCTTTTTGTGGAAGCGTTGCATGGTCATCGCAGCGTGATAAGCACTTCGGTCCTTAAAATTACTCATGTGTGCCTATTCTGGTAAAAGGAGCACATGCAGAATACAAGCGTGTTATTATGGTGCACAAGACATGCGCAATAGTTTCTTTTTAATTGTAAATTGCACAAGTATGAACGCTAAATCTTGAGCAACATTGGTGAGCGCTGCGGATGGGGTTGACTGTTTCAAGTACCCGGTGCCGTTAAGAGTGGACAAATAGAGAAATGTAGACAGACAAACAGACAGGCCAAAATTTTGCATCGAAGGTCCCCAAGAAAGACTATCGTCTTTAAAAAAGTAACCGCCATATCCACAAAGTGATTCATGTTAGAGAAGTGTGCTTCTCTAGAGAAGAGAAGTTGCTCGGGCAACTCGCGAATCCTCCGTACACATATGGTATCATCGTATGCTCCCGTGGCTTGTGGGTTGTACATGCAGCCGAGCGGTGACCTAGTGTGCTCTCAGCGTGACCTCCCGGCGAGGACAAAGGAATGGACGTCCTGCGAGAGGTGTGCGCTGCCATGAGCGACGATACACCATCTAGTGAGTATTCTTATAATCACCGGAAAACCAACGGCTTGGAAGGGGGCGCGCGTTCGCTTGTGGCTGGAACAAACATCACTGGAGCCCTCCTTTTTTCTCTCTTTTTTCACATTCCTTCTTTTCATCACTACCCATTCCCCATGGGGCGTTGTTGAGGTTAGCTCTTCAGAGAGATACAGCTAATTGATACACCATATGATTATGAGTGATGCCGTATCATGGAGGGCTCCGGAAATTGTGGGGTTCTTGAAGGTGCATCCAAAAAGATAAAGTTACCACGAAACGTTTTTCTCTTCACTTCGAGGAGGCGACCGCGCGGGCCATCGAAAGCTGACGCCTTGTGGGGACGGCTGGTTATTTAAAGAGCATTATTGGAATCACCAGTGAGGCGACTTTAAGCGCGACCACAGAAGCATAAGGTAACATTGGTGTACACGTTGCCGACATTGGACAAGCCGCGAGCAGAATAAGAAAGCTCCTAAAACTTGCAGGATACTCGATCTTCGCATAATATTTGTAGATATTTCTGTTATTATTATTATTATGTAGATTTATAAAGTACCTATTATTGATTTAGGAAACAAAAATGAGCAAGTGAGTAAGTATTCATTTAAAAAAAAACGCCAGGTCTGCGCGGAAGGCGCAGCATAGTCACAGCGAAAGCAATGATTGATGTTTCATATGTGGGGTTTAACGTCCCAAAACCACCTTATTATTATGAGAGACGCCGTAGTTGAGGGCTCCGGAAATTTCGACCACCTGGGGTTCTTTAACGTACACCCAAATCTGAGCACACGGGCCTACAATGTTTCCGCCTTCATCGGAAAATGCAGCCGCCACAGCAAGCATTTGATCCCGCCACCTGCGGGTCAGCACTCGAGTACCTTAGCCACTAGAGTACTGCGGCGGCGCACAGCAAAAGCAAGAAAAGCAGCCTTTCAGAGCCTTTTCTAAACACTCCTCGGACAACTACTGCAAGTACACTTACTTGATGCTGACTACGGCATTAATAATAAAATATTTAAGGTAATAGGCCGGCGTATACGCTATGCTAATTTTCGTCATTCTTCTGAGACGCGTGGTATCCGCTAAACTATTGCGAGAAAATTTTTGCCATTAAGTGGCTGACGACGATGAGTAATTATGCCTGAAGTGGCTATGCACCACTTTTATTAGGTGATCAAAAGCAAGCTTTTGTAATGGGTTGGAGCATTGGACGACCCACTCGTTATTCTATTCGCATTGTACGACGACTGGCGACGACTGGTTGTTCTGTCGCTGTTTTAAAGGCTTTATAAGTTGTATTACTGCGATTGCTTTCCCGACATCAAGCCTGCCTAAAGCAACTTTGCCAAGAAGTCCTAAGCACCGGCATCGTTCAATGGTAGAATACTGGGCTGGTACCCAGCGGACCCGGTTTAGGACCCCACTGTGTCACTGGGGCTAGGTTTTTTTTCTAATTTCGAGCGATGTGGTTGTTAAAATCAGTAGACATAGGGTGCAGGAGAGAAAGAGACAGACGAGGGATTGGGCGTGGCACTCTAGGGGGTTCTTGGATAAAATGAGACCGCTAATACTATTCGGAAGGGAAGCTTTACGATTGTGCCTTCAACTGCCGAAGTTTGTTGCTATCAATGTGCTATACATGGAAGCGCATCTACCTTCATTGTTAAATAGATTCAAAATACTCACTATCCAAAAATTTTTAAAACTAAACACTTTGCCCCAGAGAGAATCGTTTTATGCTTTTATTAAAGAGCCAAACTTATTTTTTGAAACTCGGTGGTCGCGATTCCACTACCTACAGATCATTTTCTTCAAGCGCTGCCAGAACCACTGAACGTCAAAATAAAACATAATTTCTCAACAAGCAACTTTAATTTAGATCATCAGAGAGGACTTGAGAATATTTAACCCTCTAATGCGAAGCAAATGCCATTTCAATATTTAAATGATCGGCTTCAGGATTACTTGGCACCAGTGAACAAGAACAACATAATCGCGACTTATGCATCCGTATCAAATGAAAAGGCTGGGGCAGGTATGTTCTAACGTTCCCTTGACTGGTCCTTTTCGGTTAGACTTTCAGATTACACACCAATATTCATAGCAGAATTATTTGCTATTGTATTGACACTACGGAAACATCCTTTTAGCGAATCAGAAGCAGTCGTAATTACAAATTTTTTTTCAGTATGTGCTGCTCTGTCT